CTTCTTCACCACCTCCTTGATAAGCTGAGAAATGGTAGAAAAGAAAGGGTTAAAGTGAAAATGAAAAAAAAAAGAGAGAGAGAAAGGAAGGAATAAAAAAAAAGAGTTATCCTCTCTTTAGCTTCTCTCTAAGGTTCTTAAGAATTTGAAGTTATATATTTTTTTCTGTACCTTTTTTGAGTCGACTCTACTTATCTCTGATCTAACCTTCTAGAGATCAACATGTTTACAAGGTGTTTTAGTCCTAAAACTCTCACTATCAAATTAGACAACAACGTTATGACATGATAATGTTACAAACTTCATATCTAAAGCAATAATCGAACCTCAATTTTTAATTAAGAAATGCAAGTCACAAAACTAATAACTTTTGTTAATGATAAAATATAATAAACACACAAATAAACTTCAAAGATAGCGTAAAAAAAACTTAAAAAAATATACAAAAAACTTTAAGTTACATAATAGTTAAATGAATCAATACTATATGAACAATTTCTCTCTCTATTTAGTAAGGCTATAATAAATTGTAAGACTCGTGCCTTTTCTTGTTGTTCCTCCACACTTATCTCTTTCTATCTTTTCCTTCCCATAATTCACTCTTTTCAGTTGTTGAACCTCATTCACCTCAAATACTTGAATTCACATAGGTGCTAGACAGTAGAGGAGCTTGAAAGCTTCAAGCTCGGAGTTGGTTCGCTTTGCCATTTCTCTTCTTCTTCTTCTTCTTTTCCCTGTGAGCTCGAAATCAGAATTCTTCTCCCCCCGAAGTAAAGGAAGCTAGAATCTTGCACGGTTTTTTGAATTGAAGTTTGATATTAGTTGGGTTTCTGAAAATTTGAGTTTTGTAGTTGAGTTTAAGGTTGGTTGCATGTTGAAAGCTGAGATTTTGGTTGTCTTGACGGAAGATTTAAGATTGATGATTTTCTTTGAATTTGGTTGCATGCATGTTGAATTTCTGGTGTTTTCTGAGTTCTATGAACAAAATGAGTAAAGGGGTAGATCATGTTTTGGGGTAAATATTGATGGATTATAGCTGGAAAACGAAAAGGGGAGCCATGGAAGTGTAGAACCTCTGCACTTAGTGTTGAAGCGCTTAAGGGAGCATTGAACTGGATGAGAAAACAAGGTGATCGAGACTTGGAGCTGCAACTCCAATTTGAGCGTTGCAGCCTTGGGAGAAATTGATTTGGCAGAGACTTTGAGTTGCAACTCCAAATTGGGCACTACAACCCCAGGAAGCCCAAGAGAAAACGAAGCTGGCAAAGAGTTTGAGCTAGAGTGCTGAATTGATCGTTGCATATCAAAGGATAGATAACCGAATTGGGTCTTATGGTCTTCATAAAAGTTGTAGCTTTGGATGTTATATTTCCAATGGAACTGGAATCACACAAAAAGGAGGTCTAGCACTTCAGATATGACTTTTTTAGTGAACAGGGGTCAAGCTGTCAGCATTAGTTATGGCTGTTGCGGTTTTTATAAATTTTAACAAAGTAGATGATGAAATTAGGATTTGATGCCTTCATAAGAGTTGTAAGAAATCTTCTTATATTTCATATGAGATAAAGATGAACATGATAGGAGTATTATAACTCTCGATAAGCTGCTTTTTCACAAGGAGTGATTTGGTTAAGTTGATAATTGTTTTGGGTGCTTAAATTATTTATGTTGTTATATTGAATAATTTGGCATGATTCATGAGTTTTAAATATGTAATAGGAGATGTATTATGTGACAAATTGTTGTGTATTGTTATATATGATACAGTGTTGAAAAATGATGAATGTTGTAATATGATGAGAAAACACATTTGTGAGTTGAGGGTTGTATGCTAAACCCTAGTGGTGAAGCTGTGTAGAGATGTTATATGAGTTGAATGAGCTATTTTGTTGTTAAAATGTGTTGTTAAACAGTGTTGATGAATTGTTGTGTTGATAAATTGTGTTGTTATAGTTGTGAGTTAACTATGTTGTTCAAGTTGAAAGTTGATTGAGATGATGAGTTGAAAACTGTGTTGATTTTGCTGTGATGATGAGTTGTTGATCACTAGGAATAGGGGAGAAGTTTTCGAAGTCGCTCATCCCGTTGTGTGGATTGAGAAAGTTGTAGTGCTCTAAGAGCTTAGTTTGTTGAAAAACCCTTCTTGGAAAGTTGTCCCTTGGAATGGATGATGTGTTGTTCTCCTCTAGGACTTAATTGGTCCTGTGTGTGGGCAAGGTCGAGACACACATATATGAAGCGACCAAAGTATAGGGACCAGGTCAAGCTATACCGATTACAAGTGACCAATTCAAGTAAAGTACGAAGTCGGGAACTTAGTTCCTAACCTAGTATCGAAGGATTGTAGTATTTGGAGAATAGTCAGTAGGCTAATCCCATAGGTGATTTAGTTGAGCTAGCTAATGTCGTGGTAGGCTTAAACCCAACTGTTCTATCCTGACATAGTACTATACTTCCTTGTTTAAGTAAAAAAGTCTGAGAAATCGTTATCGTGTTGTGAATTTTTATCCAAATTTTTTGTTTATCTAGCAAGTCCAGAAAGGTTCTGTGTTGTCGGTTCAGTAGGACCTAGCCACTTAGACTGCTCACCCTGTGTTATAGGAGATCTTCGAGTTGAAATGTGTGACGACGCATATGTGTTGATACACTGTTGATATGTGTTGTATAGTTGAAGTGATGTTAAGATGTCGTATATGTGTTATTTGTTGCTTGTGTTGGATGTGAAAATGAATTTATATGTTGATGTGTTGCATACTTAATTATATAGATGTGTAATATATGTGTTGTTTGTTGCTTGTGTTGGATGTGAAAATGAATTTATGTGTTGATGTGTTTCATACTTAATTATATGAGTTGTTTATTTTATCTAGCTTACCCTTGCATGTTTTCATATGGTTTAAACTGCGATGATCATATGTTATATGGGAGCAGGGCAAGGATAGGTTGGATAGTAGCAGTGGAGCCACAGGTGGTGCATGGAGTTGAATTTTATTTTGTAGACTACCGGTTGTTGGTAGATACTTATGTATATATTTGTATATAATTGCTAGACAAGCTACATAGTTGTACATATTCATGAGATGTAGATGTGTTATATTATATTACTCACTAGTGGAAAAAAGACTTTTAAAATCGGTTATTTTGGACTTTTAAAATCAGTTCTGTAACCGATTTTGAAAGAGCCGATTTTAAAAGTTAGACTTTTAAAATCGGTTAAACAACCGATTTTAAAAGTCAACTTTTAAGATCGGTTGTTTTATAACCGATCTTAAAAGTCTGGCGGTGAAAAAAAATTAAACTGGAACGGCTCGTTCCAGCCTAATTAAAAGGCCAAAATATTCACATGAAGAACGTCCCGTTCTCCTTGGAGTACGGCCCGTTCTGCAAGGAGAACGGGCCGTACTCCCTGGAGAACGGCCCGTTCTCCATGGAGAACGGGCCGTTCTCCATGAAGTACGGCCCGTACTCCTTGGAGTACGACTCGTTCTGCAAGGAGAACGACCCATACTCCATGTAGAACGGGTCGTTCCAGCTTCAAAATTTTCCCAAATCGAACCTGTAACGAAAATTGAGACGAGAAAAGAATGAGAAAACGATAAGAGACACAAAAAAAACATAAGCAGACAAAAATGAAAACGAAATTTACCTGGAGACTTTAGAAAATGAGAAAGATTAAAGAAAATGAGAATGGAGGGGAATATAAAAGATTTCTGACGATACTTTTAAAATCGGTTAATTAAGAACCGATTTTGTATACTACATACAAAATCGGTTATGAGAGAACCGATCTTAAAAGTGACACTTTTAAGATCGGTTATAAAAGAACCGATCTTAAAAGTGACACTTTTAAGATCGGTTGTAAAAGAACCATCTTAAAAGTACTTTTAAGATGGTTCTTTTACAACCGATCTTAAAAGTGTCACTTTTAAGATCGGTTCTTTTATAACCGATCTTAAAAGTGTCACTTTTAAGATCTGTTCTCTCATAACCGATCTTAAAAGTGCTTTTAAGATCGGTTCTTTTGTAACCGACCACTTTTAAGATCAGTTCTTTTATAACCGATCTTAAAAGTACTTTTACAATCGGTTAAATTTTAACCGATCTTAAAAGTGTTCATGTTATTTACAAAATTGCCACCGCGTCACTTTTAAGATCGGTTACCTTATAACCGATCTTAAAACTCCGATTTTAAATCCAATTTTTGCACTAGTGACTGTCGTTACAATAAATGTCAATCTCGATAATGTTTAATAAAAGTATGCATAGTATTTATAATTAAGGAGAATAATTTTTTTTTCTTTCAAAATCTCCTTTCAATAATTTTCTCCAATAAATTTATCCTAAATATAATTTAATAATTTTATGTTAATTTATATTTTGTAATATATATTTATTTTTATAATTTATGTTATATTAATTTGCTATTTTTTTAGTGTAGATATAAGCTTGTTATTAATAGACATTATTATATTTTATTAAAAAAATTTAAATATTATATTATATATAATTTAAAATTTTACGTGTGTATTAAATATTAAGAATTTATAAAAGTGTTTTATTTTAATATTTAATATTGGTAAAATTATAATATTATTTTTATATTATTCATAATAATAATAATTATTTTATTAATATCGATTTAATTATAATTTAATCACGGTTGAATTATAATCTTAAATCAATACTTAAACTAATTCAATGTGGATTGAATTTTAAATATGTTAGTTTTTGCATAGGACTAATTAAGGCGTATTAGGATATAAAAAAAGCCCATATTTGCGCATGCAAGAATAATTTGACGGACTAACATTACAATGGTATATCCATGAAGCCGATCCTCGTGCAGGTGAGCCCATGCATGCTGTATTGGTTTTTGCAATGTGTTACACACAACTTGTTATATAAACATATACTTTTAAAAATGTATAAGTCAATTCTTTTGAAATATCTCTAAAAATTTTACAACATTTTCTGAGAAGCAAAATGTCAGTGTGTTCTTATTTTTGAGAAGTTCCGGAAGAAAGATAAATCCAAGCATAAACAACTTGTCTTATACTAATACATATGAGAAGCACAAATTAAGTTTTGTGTGAAGCATGGAAAGCAGCAGTATGAAGACCCTTAGCGGGGTTGGTCACAAGTGGTGCTTCATACTTGGTGAATAACTTGTAAGAGGAAATGAGCGAAAGCAAGACATAGCAAAAAAATGCGACAAATGTGATAGATGCTGAAGCAATAACTTTGTGACAAAATGGACCAAAAGAGGTACAAGCTGAGCTCCATGTTGTTGCACTGTTTCCCTTCTCAGCTAGGTACCACACTGCCACTGATGCAGCTCCAGCAGCCAGGATCAGGTACGTTAACACCTACCAAACTCAATGCAAATTAACATATTTAATATTCATATTTGACTTTATTATTATGCTATACATATATGCTCAAAATTGTCATAACCATAATTTAAGGCTGCTAGGAGTAGTGGTACTGGTAGTGGATAGAATCCAATTCATTTTTTACCAATTAAAAATCCAAAAATTCAAACAAAATTTGTTTGGAGATAAGTTTCACACAAAAAATAATCAAAATTTAGATGAAAAAGAAAGGGAGAGAAACTTTTTTAGTCAAAAAAGGAACAATTTCTCATTCTTAAATGCATAGTAATCGATAATAATAAAATTAATTCTAGTAAACAAAATTATTGCATTATTTCATATATTTTTATATTGTAAAAGGAAAATATACAAAAAAATATATAGTTTATTTAAAATAATTTTCTAGATATATTTTTACTAAAATATCACTTTTATCTTTACCAAAAAAAAGAGTTACTTTTACATTCTATTCGTTATTTTAGAATATATTTTGTATAAATGTTTTTCTCTCTTTTTCTCTACTTCTACACAATAAATAAAAAGAGAGAGAATAAAATATCTTTAGTTCCTATCTGTTATATAATAATTTAAAAATAATATCATTTCCTTTTTTTTTTTGCCCTCTCTTTTTCTTTTACTTTTGTTCTTACCAAATATAGAATGGTTGACGCAGCACATTTGCGAAGTGTATTGTCGCTCATCTACACAAGTCCTAATTAATTAAGAGTAACCAAACCCCAAACATATTTGGTCACACAGCGCATCCATATTGCCCCACATACTCTAGAATCCTAATTAAGAATAACGAACTCCTAATAAATTATATATATATATATATATACATTCGATCTTTTTTTAAATTATTGTCATTTTTTTTATCAAAACAATTGTTATTTTATAAATTTAAGACTCGCTCAATTTCTTTAACTTGTTAACTATATTTTCACTTAATAATTACATATATGTGTCTCTTAACTGTCTCATCACTTTTTGTTTTTACCTACCATATATATTTTCCTTTCATTAATATATACATCTTTTTCGTACCTATCCTTAATTAATTAATTAACTAGAAAATTAAAATATAACAATATTTTATATTGATTAAGTAGTTCAAATTTCATATATATATCACTGCACATATTTTTTTCCTCAATATTAAAAGAGGTATCACCAGTTTAAAGAATTTAATGTTATAAAAAATCTCAAATATTCGTTTTTGGAGCAAACTCTCAAATATTCTAACGTCTGTGATATTTGGTTGTACATAGCAATATCACTACGTTTTATAATTTTGTTGTTTGTTTTAAAATTTAAAAAAAAATCATTTTTTATGGTTTTCAATGAAAAATACACATTTCAATGCAATATACGATTAAAATTCATTTAGATGCATGACTAAATCGTACATTCAAATAACTCTTATTCTTAAATGATAAAAATAAATTAAAGTTATTCAAAATATAATGTTAATTATTTATATTTTCACTGTATATGATTTAAATATTTTTTAAAAAACAAAACTGATCATCGTTTTCCTTTATTTTGAAAATTCAAACAAAATTTGTTTGGAGATAAGTTTCACACAAAAAATAATCAAAATTTAGATGAAAAAGAAAGGGAGAGAAACTTTTTTAGTCAAAAAAGGAACAATTTCTCATTCTTAAATGCATAGTAATCGATAATAATAAAATTAATTCTAGTAAACAAAATTATTGCATTATTTCATATATTTTTATATTGTAAAAGGAAAATATACAAAAAAATATATAGTTTATTTAAAATAATTTTCTAGATATATTTTTACTAAAATATCACTTTTATCTTTACCAAAAAAAAGAGTTACTTTTACATTCTATTCGTTATTTTAGAATATATTTTGTATAAATGTTTTTCTCTCTTTTTCTCTACTTCTACACAATAAATAAAAAGAGAGAGAATAAAATATCTTTAGTTCCTATCTGTTATATAATAATTTAAAAATAATATCATTTCCTTTTTTTTTTTGCCCTCTCTTTTTCTTTTACTTTTGTTCTTACCAAATATAGAATGGTTGACGCAGCACATTTGCGAAGTGTATTGTCGCTCATCTACACAAGTCCTAATTAATTAAGAGTAACCAAACCCCAAACATATTTGGTCACACAGCGCATCCATATTGCCCCACATACTCTAGAATCCTAATTAAGAATAACGAACTCCTAATAAATTATATATATATATATATATACATTCGATCTTTTTTTAAATTATTGTCATTTTTTTTATCAAAACAATTGTTATTTTATAAATTTAAGACTCGCTCAATTTCTTTAACTTGTTAACTATATTTTCACTTAATAATTACATATATGTGTCTCTTAACTGTCTCATCACTTTTTGTTTTTACCTACCATATATATTTTCCTTTCATTAATATATACATCTTTTTCGTACCTATCCTTAATTAATTAATTAACTAGAAAATTAAAATATAACAATATTTTATATTGATTAAGTAGTTCAAATTTCATATATATATCACTGCACATATTTTTTTCCTCAATATTAAAAGAGGTATCACCAGTTTAAAGAATTTAATGTTATAAAAAATCTCAAATATTCGTTTTTGGAGCAAACTCTCAAATATTCTAACGTCTAAGATATTTGGTTGTACATAGCAATATCACTACGTTTTATAATTTTGTTGTTTGTTTTAAAATTAAAAAAAAAATCATTTTTTATGGTTTTCAATGAAAAATACACATTTCAATGCAATATACGATTAAAATTCATTTAGATGCATGACTAAATCGTACATTCAAATAACTCTTATTCTTAAATGATAAAAATAAATTAAAGTTATTCAAAATATAATGTTAATTATTTATATTTTTACTGTATATGATTTAAATATTTTTTTAAAAACAAAACTGATCGTCATTTTCCTTTATTTTGAATGACCAAAATTCAAATATATAGCTTATAGATAAGGATAACCCATGTGATGATATCAACTGACTCTTTAATGGCCTTCATAAATTATTAGGAAGAATAATAGGTACTCCTATTTCACATTAGTGATCAACACCCAGTATTGAAGTGCTTATCCTTTTTGGCAATTAATTATATCTACTAATTCACTTCTCTCATTCATGCACAATAAGAAGTAATTAAATGAGATGACCTGGTCAAGCAAAAAGAAGGTCCAAGCTCTAGACATGGTTGAAAGGTGTGGCAAAGCAACAATAACCGCTGAAAATAATGAATATCCTGCACAAATTCCATTTGCATGCACCAAATACCTGCAAGATACGTAATCCACAGGTCAAAATACGAATTTTGGTTCATCATTTCATTTCTATATATATATATATATATATTAATGCTTTTGTATAATTATCTTTTTAATCTCAGCATACAAATAAGGTAAAGGTTTACTTATTTTTTACAAGAAAATTTATTTAGTTTTATCTTTCATTAACAGAAAATATGTGATGTACGTGTTTGGACCAATACTTTATACATTTCTAAAATTAAAGAACATTTTTTTAGAGTCTTGTTAATTGAAAAAATCCCCAAATTCAAAGTTTCAACTTACCAAAACAACCTCATTCGTAAACAAGAAAATTTACAACGATTAGGGTATCTAATCAACCAATTAAACTAGATGTTATTGGTGAGTGAACTGGAATGATATTTATAATTACATATGCATGTGAAAATCCAATTTCAAGTTTTGTAAAAGGAAATCGAATAATAAAGAAATATATAAATTGTATGTATCGATATATATGGAGTGTTGATACCTGAAAGCAGTAAGGTCGGTGTAGCTAACGGAGCCATACTGATTTTGCTGAGAGTTCTTAAGCATAATGACAAGAGCTGTTAAACAAAGACCAATTGTGAACAAACGCAGCAAGGTTTCCACAATACGTAGGACACTATCGTTGCTTTCTAATTCCTCGTCGCTTCCTTCACCTCCTATTAGTTGTTTGCCAGATCTTGAATTTTCAAGCACTTCATTTCCCTCTCCCATAACTATTACTAGTATGTTTCCTTTTCGTTTTCGTTATGCTTCAATTGCAATTTGCATCACCAATGATATGTGATATATTGTTATTATATGCCCGCAACATGAAGTGCGGCATTCAATGTCCATCATGTCATTTAAGGGAAGCCACGCAATCCTAAGGCAACAGCGACTAGTCAACTAGATTAGTCCCTTCCTTAATTTCATTTCCTTCTTGTCTAGGTAACTAGGGTTAGATTTTGCCATAACCATATCATGGGATATCAACTATCACTTTCCAATTTCCATTTCCATTTTCATGGGTCAACGTCAAGTTCACATGTGGTTTTCATTTTCATTTTAAGTCATGACCCGTTTACTTGCCTTTTCATTTTAAGTTTTCACCTTTTAATTAATTACAAAATTAATTTTTTCAAAAAATTTATGTTGAAAATAGAGAAAACAAAAAAATATTTTCAATATTTCTTACAAAATAAAAATACAAGTAAACGGACATCGTCCACCCTCTTTTTGAATAGACTGAGGTGGAAAAAAAGAAGAAGAGAAAAAACAATAAATATGATAAAAGTGACATAATGAACAGAAGAGAGAGAGTGAAATTAATATATTTAAAACAACTCCGAAAATGTATGGGTGGTGTTGGTTGAATGGGAAGTCATATAGTAATAAGTGTTGTGAGTAATTAATTTTGGAAGCGGACATGACATCGAATTCATGCTTACACTAAGAAGGTGAGACGGCTACTTATTAGTGAAAGTAAAATGGGAAGAAAGTTAGCACGGTTCTACTTATTACAGTATTAGTACTAACAAAATAAGAGTTAATCACGTATATACCAGCAGTGTAAAATTTTTTTACGTTGATAAGTGACAACCAATCATATTTTTTAATAGTATCATTATAGTTATTTATTTAATGAAATAAAAATAAAATAATTTAAAAAATATGATTGGTTGTCAGCGTAAAAAACTTTACACTGACAATGTATGGATGATTAACTCACAAAATAATATCTAAACGTGAAGCAATTTTTTTCTCTCACAAAATTTTAATAAATTTTATTACTAAATTATAATTTTCCATAATAGTTACCGATAGAAAAGTATTAAAATAATGTTAAAGAATATCAATATATCTCTTAAAACTAATTAGCAAGTGATTTGGTAGAGAACTAAGACGGGAAAGAAAGGAAAAAAAAAATTATAAAAATGTTATACAAAAATAAAATATAAAAATATATTTATTTATTTATTTAATGTTGCTTTGTTTTATAGGAGAGACTAGAGGCCAAATGTTTATGGCAGGATTAGTAATTCTTAAATGAGATAGATGACAGGGAAACGAACTCACGTTCATTAAACTCCATTTTCACTTTATGAAACAGACTGGTACTGCTATCGATTAAAGAAATAACAATTCCAAGTTACGAGTCTGTATTTTTAGTTCTTTTACATAGTAGAATTTAACACCGAAAAAAGAAAAAGAAAAAAATCAGTATCGTTGCTGCTTTTGGAGCATACTTTTGTAATCGAAATGATGCTGAAGTACGTGTATATATGTTTGTTTGGAGATTTCATTATTTTAGTTTTTTGTATTTCAAATCAACGTAATCCAGTTGATGTAAGATTGTTATAATATTCAATTAGTAAATTTGGATTTGAATTTAAATTTTAAATATATAATATAACTGTATTAAATATTTAAAAGTAAAATTTTGTCATTTATAATAATCTTATTCGAATTAAATATAATTAATTTTAATAAAGAATATCTATGATCTTTGATGGAAAAGAATAAGTACCAAAACCCCCCAAAAAAAAAAATTTAGGAATTTTATTAGGATATCATATAAAATGTTGGTTTAATTTTTAATAATCTATCGAAATATCTGGCATGTTTAAATAAAAAATTAATAATTGAATAAAAAAATATATCTGGCATATCAGCCAGCCCCAATTGAATTAAAAAAATATCTGGCATATCAACCAGCCCCGCATAATCACCATTTTGATTTATGCGATTTGAATTCGGCTTTGATCACCAATGGGCCACATGGGTACATTTCATTGTTATAAATGATCATCATATTTAATATTGGAGTATAAATTAATTTTTTATTTTAAATTTATATAAATTTTTTTATAGTGTGTTTGGATGAGAAATTTAAATGAAATAATTTATTTATTTAAATAATTTTAAATTTTTTTAAGTAAAATATCTTGTTTGGATGGAGAATTTATAAAGAATTTAAAATTCAAGCATTTGTGAAATTATTTGAAATAGTAAAATTTCAAATTTTAAAAAAAAAAATTCTCATATATTTTTTTTTATTTTATTTTATCTCTTAATATTTTTAATTATTGAATATTAAAAAATATTTTTAAAATTATTAAATATTATCTAATATTAATTTTTAAAATTATTAAATATGAAAATTAGCTAATATTTATTTTTATAAAATTTAATTTAAAAATTTCAACATATAAATGTACTTTAAAAATAAATTTTACCATGGTGGAATCAAATTATTATATCCAACTTAACAATTTAAACTTTAAGAAATTTGAATTAACTTATCCAGATAAAATATTTTAAGAATGATAGAAATTGAAATCAAAGTAATTCAAATACAAAAAATTTAAAATTTCTTAAATTTGTAAAATTTCTCATCCAAACACATGCTTAGAGTGTGTTTGGAAAGAAAATTTAAATGAAGTAATTCATTTATTTGAAGAATTTCAAATTCTTTAAGATGAAATATTTTGTATGAATGGATAATTTATAAAGAATTTGAAATCCAAGCATTTGTGGAATTCCTTAAAATAGTAGCATTTCAAATTCTCCCAAAAAGTAAGAATTTGAAAATTTTCATTTTTTTCTTCTTATTTCAGTTATATATTTTTATATTATCTCTTATCTTTTAATGTTTTTAATTATTGAATATCAAAAATATTTTTAAAATTATTAAATATTATTTAATACTAATTTTTAAAGTTATAAATACTTAAAAATTAGCTAATTTTTATTTTTATAAAATTTAATTTAAAAATTTCAACATATAATTTTTGATGAAAATTTTTGTGTATATTTTCTAGATCTCGTTTAAAAAAACTTTTTAATAATTTATTTGTACTTATCTCCTTTTATAAGTGTTCATGAGAGTGTTTAGATAAATTTATAAAATATTTTGATAGATATCTTCAATAAGAATAGTTTTCTATTTTATTTTTCATTTTTTATTAAAAAATAATTTTATATTCATTTTTATTATTCTCTCGTTTTTGTTTTCCTCTTTATTTTTTTTTCCCTTTCCCTTCAAAACCCCCCCCCCCTCCAAAATTCACATTCTCTTAATAAAATCGTTCTAACTTTCTTTTATAAAATAACACATCTACTTTATTGAAAATCTCTTTGTCGGAATGTAACATTATTTTTATTGTGAATTTCAATCATTTTTTTACTTATTATTTATACTTATCACATAATTTCATTACAGAACTTAAAATTCAAATATTCAAGTTTTTTCTTTCTTCTATTTTTATTATTTTTAATCATGATTTTATAGAATATATTGAATTGAATTTTAATTTTTAATTTTTTTTTAATTTTTAATCATAGTTATATAAAATTGATTTTTCATATTTTATTAATAATTTATTTTCTATAAATTAAAATCATATAAATGGTGACTAATAATTTTTATTATTTTTAATATTATTATGATATATAATGTTATTTTTAAAAATTATTAATTTTTTATTTTAATTTATTTTCTATCAACATTTATTTTGTAATTTTTTAATTTTTAAAATGAAACAAGATATATATCCAAACATTTTTAAATTATAGAAGTATTTCTCAATATATATATATTCAAATTCAAAAATTCATTGAATTTAAAATACTTATAATATAAACTCTTATTACATTAAAAATTTATTAAATAAGAAGTCAATTAAATTATTTATCAAAATTTCTTTTATTTACTTTTCTTAACCTTATAATAGTTGATCGATCCGTTTTAATATAATTAATGTTTTCTATAAAAAGTTTAAAACCAAATAGGATAATCATGATCATAGTTATGTACGTTGTTAATGCACAACCGAATCTATTATTGCAAAAATTGATTTTATAAAATTAAATTTGGAATGTGAGTAAAATCACAGAGGAAAATCATGACACATAAATAACTCTTCATGAGTGTGGGCCTGTATCATATTGGGCTTGAGGAAGTTGTTGCAGTGGGCTCAATTTATTTATTTATTTTTCGTCTAATCGTAACCCACACACTATGTCCAAATTTTTAAAACCAAAACCCCTAAGAGCTCAATCCGAAAGGGGTACCCATAATGACATGGTAAAAAAAAAGTTGGAAACGTGATGGCACCCATTACCACAAAAATATAATTCATATACTAGAAAGGGAAAAAAGTCAAAGTCTGTATATTGGTATACAAATAATGGTAAAAAAAATTTAATTGTAATAAAATTCAATAAATAAATAAATAATATAGTAGGAATTGACTGTAATAAGAATATTCCCTCTATTTTCATTTATAAGACTTGATTTAGAAAAATTATTTGTTTCTTTATCTAAAATCCAATTCATAGTGTTTGATGAATTAATTGTTTTTGAACTAAAATACCCTTAATTAAAACATTTTTCCTTAATTTGATATAATATTGTCATACATTCTAATTAGCTAATAGAATAAGACATATTAATTATGAGAAAAAAAAAATATGACATGCACTTTAATTAATTAATTTAGAAAGAGGTAGGTATTAATTAAGAAAGAAAAAAACTACAAATTTTTTTTTTAAAAATATATAAAAGTAAAATAAATTTATTGTTATCAACGTAGATCAATTACTTTTCTTAATTTTAATGAATTAGGTATTTAAGTTATATATATATAATTAGTAATAATAATAAAATTTGACTTAAAAAATTGATAATAATAACAATAATAAGTGGATTAAATCGTAGGATAAAATTCTATGTACATTAGTAACCAAGATGTTGGATATAATTAGAATTTGAGAATATTTAAAGTTTCATCAAGTATTGGGAATAACATGCAAATTATATTGATTAAAGCCTAAAATAAAGTAACGAATAATCAGTATACAGTAATAGATATTTATTCAATTTTAATATATACTAAGATTATTATTGCAAAGAATTGAAGCAGCATTTGAATTTTAAAAAGGTGTTATAAAAACTTTTTTGAAAATTTTTTCTAACCAAATCACGAATTCATATTTAAACTAAAAATTACACTAGTGGAAAAAATACTTTTAAAATCGGTCATTTTTGACTTTTAAAATCGGTTCTCTGACCGATTTTAAAAGAGCCGATTTTAAAAAGTGGGACTTTTAACATCGGTCGCTGAACGACCTGTACTGCTTTCAGTGCAGCCCGTTCTGGAAGCAGAATGGCTTGTACTGCTTGTAGTACGGCCCGTTCTACAAACAGTACAGGCTGTCCTGCTTGCAGCATGGGCCGTACTGCAAGCAGTACAGACCGTTCTACTTGTAGAACCGACCGTTCTAGGGTCGTTCTAGAGTCAAATTCGCCCACAAACAACGAAATAAGAGACATGAGAAGAGAATGTTACCTTGATGTTGTATTCTTTCGAGAAAATGACAAGCTGCACACTTCAGATGAGAGCCCGAGAGAGTAAATAGAAGAATATATGAACTAATAAAGCAAAGAGTAGAGAATGGAGCTAGGGGGAGAATGGGAGTAGAGATAGTATAAATTAAGTCTCTGATGCTACTTTTAAAATCGGTTGTTCAATAATCGATTTTAAAATCGGCTATTTGAGAGCCGATTTTAAAAGTAGCGTCAGAGACTTTTAAAATTGGTCGTAACGTAGCCGATTTTAAAAGTAATTCCATTATTTACAAAATTGTCACCGCGTCACTTTTAAAATCGGCTACCTTATGACCGATTTTAAAACCCCGATTTTAAAAGTCATTTTTGTACTAGTGTCAAACTCTATTCTTTATTGAAAAAAAATCAAACAATTTAGATTAACATTAATTAAAGAATTTATTTAGTATATAGAATTAAAATTATAGTATATATACTTCCCATATTTATTATGTCATAAATTAAATTACTTCAAATTACAATTCTTATATTTGAAATTTCAATTCTATTTTGACTCTAGAGTACTTACGAATAAAGTTAATTTTGGTGTAGGTAAAGAATAAAATGGTGGATGCATATTTATTAATTCCATATAATATAGGTTAAAAATCTTTTTTGGTCTCTTATAATATTTTTTTGTTTCAATTTAGTCTCACTTTAATTTTAGGTTTCAATTTGGTCCCCAATAATTTAAATCATGACAATTTGGGACTTCCGTCTAAATGATTTAAACGGAGTTAACTGGTGGCCACGTGGATGCTAGGTGGATGCCACGTAGATGGATCCCAAAATACTTGAATACACCTGGAACCAGAACGGCCCGTTTTAGTTACACTATTGGTGTGTAAATTTTGTACCTGGAACGGGCCGTTCCAGATGCAAAATTAACACACCAACAGTGTAACCAGAACGGGGCGTTCTGGTTTGAACGGGCCATTCTGGTTCCAGAATTTCATGCACAAAAAAACCAAAATACAAAGCATTTCAAATACTAGATTTGGTAATATTGTTAATGGGGATTGATAACTTCAATTGCTAAACATTTTGGCTATACAGTGTATCATTAAGGACGATGCAGTGTATCACTAAAGATAATGGTAACAAGTTTTATTTCATTGTTAGTCAAATTGGAGTGAACCACTTTCTAACAAATTGACATTATATAGTTAAGGATGAAACGAAACGGTGTTTCCCCTTGGAGTCATTGACGATGTACCCCAACAATAACAACCTGTTCTTGAGGAGGTACAACCTGAATTTTTGTGGTTTAGGGTTTCCCTTCAGCGTTACCCAGATGATTTCCTTTCTCAATAATTTCTTTGAACTTTTTTAGTATATGTTATATTCTGAATTTTTTTTTCAGTTTCTGAACCATGTTTCTGTCTTTGAATTTATGATATATTATGAATTTTTATTTTCAATTTTTGAATCACATTGAGGCATTTTAGTCAAGATTTTGAACTGGATAAGTTCAAATCAAAGAAATTTTTTGGAAAGTCTTATCTTATTTGATTCTCTTTCTTTTAGTTTTATTCATAAATGAATATTAATTTATTGTATTTTTTATTTATTATATTTATATTAATATAGTTATAATAAAAAAAATACAATAAAAAGCAAGAAGTTGGCGTTCTGGAACGGGCCGTTCTGAATTCAGAACGGCCCGTTCTAACAGCAGAACGACCCGTTTTGGTTTCAAAATGGCCCATTCTGCTGCACTCATGTTGTGTTAAATTTGCATTTAGAACGACTCGTTCCAGTTGCAAAATTAACACATAACATGTGCATGCAGAACGGGCCGTTCTGGATCCAGGTGTTTTCATGACATTCGGCATCTCCTATGCATCTACGTGACATCCACCTGGCATTCACGTCAGCAGGAGTTAACCTCGTTTAAATCAATTTAAACGGAAGTTCCAAATTGCAATGATTTAAATTGTTAGGGACTAAATTGAGACCTAAAGTTAAAGTGGGACTAAATTGAAACAAAAAAATATTATCAAGGACCAAAAGAGATTTTTAACCTATAATATATTTAATAAATTTTGAAATATTTCATATTTATTGTAAATAAAAATAATTTATGTACTACTAATGTAAATAGTTTTTTGCACCGTCATTAATTATAAATTGACATGTAAAGCAAGTTGTTTTATTTTATTTTTTAAATTTTAGAATGAATTTATATTGATTAATAATATAAAAGTTTCTAGAGTGACAGCACATAGGACTTAATTTCATTATCAAAAACATTAGAATTAAGGAAGAAAATAGGGGAGTGGATGAGCGCAAGATCCGGAATTCATCGCATTGGGCTGATCACACAAAGATTTTCCGGTGTTGGAGATATCCACATGGAATACAACGACTTCACCCTTATCCATACTTCCTTCTCAATCCACGCACTCACCCTTTTTTAATAATAATCATTTCTTTTATTTCTTAGTATTAAGTTTTCATTTTAATAATGTTGCAATAGAAATTTCAAGTAGAATTAAATGAAAATCACAACCAAAGAGTATTCATCCACCAAAGAATCATTCATCTCTTGGTAAATATCAACCAACAATCAAGATTTCTTCATTAAATGACCCTGAAGTTTTTATTCTTTAGTGAACATAAAAATTGCGCCATTGATGAAGATTATAAGATCTCACGTAGGCAAAGTGTTCTTACTTCTTAGCAAACTATTAACTAAACCAAAAACATTTTTCAATAATGTTAACTATTGGCTTGCTGAAGCGTTTGTTGTCTTTAAATGTTTGATATAGCTTTTCAGCAAATGTTTCATGCGTTGATCTTGGAAACATGCTACAAAGAATAAGCAGGACAATCTTACAATCTCAAAGGCTATGCATATGCACACGTCACTACATAATGCATATATATAGATGTATATTTAAAGCAAAATGACCAAGATTAGCCATGCTACATTTTGTCAAAAAATCTAGGTATTTGTAAAAATAATAGAATAATCACTATTCATAACCGATTAACTTACTCCAAGTTTTTATTTGATGGGAGGTTTTAAGAAAGAAAACAAGCATCATGAAAATGTTATACCTTCTCTATGAGATCAAGAACATCTTGATTATCAACGAACTCGATATAACTCCAATCAATCTCTTCCTTTGTATATTCCTCTTGCTCCATTTTGAAGACATGCTGCATAATAAAATGTTAACTGAGTCAACAGAAATTGTTTACAAGATAATGAATTCCAAGAAGACAGAAAATAAAAGAATCAAACCTGGTTGAAATGTTGCTGTAATTTCTCATTTGTCAAATTGATACAAAATTGCTCAAAGCTGTGCAGGACCATTTAAACATTACAGAGAACAGTTCAAAATATTAGTAACATAGGCACAGAAAAAGGTCAATCCAAGAAATTACACTATAGTCATTAATTACAAAGCATTTTTGGCTAAAAAGTTTTTGTTGCACCATTTATCCTGGGTATCCATCAAGCAAAGCAAAAACTATGGACAATATTAACTAATGCATAAAATAAAAATTTTACATCTTTATCAACTTTTATTTCATAATTCAGACACAAAGCATATAAGTTCCTTGATTAATAATCCCACTTCATATAAACAGCAGGAAAGCAAAGGGTACTGGCTAAGCACCTGTTTGTCTTGAAACTCTCAAATCCATATATATCTAGAACCCCGATCAAGTTATTTGAATCTGGATCTTGCCCAATAGAGTTGTTAAAACAGAATGCACACCAGAATTCAAAGATATTCCATCTCCAACTGGAAGACCACCCCGTGATCTAGTAAATGCATTTTGGCCCTGCATCCAGTCCAAATAGCAAATAAATAAGAATCAAGAATAAAACAAAAATTTTCTTGCAATAGAAATTTCAAGTAAAATTAAATGAAAATCACAACCAAAGAGTATTCATCCACCAAAGAATCATTCATCTCTTGGTAAATATCAACCAACAATCAAGATTTCTTCATTAAATGACCCTGAAGTTTTTATTCTTTAGTGAACAGAAAAATTGCGCCATTGATGAAGATTATAAGATCTCACGTAAAATCCTACGAAATCCTAAACCAATACACCCCCCCTTAGTTTTCTCTTACCAATTACGAAATTATGTCTAAACATTTTTGTTGGGTTTAGAAGCCATCGACGAAGTGACATATTCAATGTGTCGTTATCTACACTTGCAAATTTAAGTTTGTATGCAAAATGTACATTTTCAGTTTGATAATGTATACGTGTTTTTAAAACAAGTATAATTTTAATTAAACGTAACAAAAAAGAATGGTATATGTGAAAGGATGGTACATTAGTGGAAGTTGCATCTGGGGGAACAAGAAATATCAAATTCGGATAAAACCGAATCTTACTCTCTCTGTCAAAAAAGATTATGATAAAATAGATAAAGCGAAATAAAAAAAATACCAATCTTATCCAACATCTTAAAGCCTTTGCTTATAAACCGTCCAATACTTCTCTTCACAAACACAAACTAAAGTACTCGTGATTCTATTTAAAGCGCACACAGCTTTAGAACAGAGAAAAGTGCGTACATGTTTCCAGATACAAATTGTTGCGTGTGGTTCATTGGTTAGGAAGAAGAATAAAAGGTTGAGACATAAAAACCCCAAAAAGGGTGTTCGAGAAACAAGGTTTTTTGTTGAGAGATGGAACAGCTAAAGTATAAGGTTGTCGAAGCTGATAATAACAAAGGACCAGTTGAGGAGTGTGGTCTTGCTCGTTCTTTTTCTTCTTCTGAGTCTGGATTTTCAAGTGGTTCATCGTTGGATTCTGATTCATTTGAAGAAGTTACATCCCCTGCTTCTTCTTCTTCTTCTTCGTCTGATCAACTTGCAAATGAGCCGTTGAATGACATGTCTTTTTTGTTTCAACAACTTCCCATCAAGTAAGTTTCTCTTCTCTGTCCACCCTTTAGTCTTGTTTATTATTTTACACTATTGATTACTCAAAACATGATTTTTAAAATAATTATTAACTAAAGTAATAACTAAAAGAATTAGACTTTAATGACAAGTTGTTGAGGAAATGATTCCACAATTAAGTTTTTTTTTTTCAATAAAAATTAGTTATTTTAAAAATTGTTAAATGTTTCGCATTAATAATATACTATAAAGACTATTATTCTTTGATTATTTACCGAATAGTATTCTTGGTGCAAATGAAAAGACAAGGGGATAATTTTATTATTCATATAATATATGATTGGACTATAATTTACACTATTTTTTGTTTTTGCTTATAAAGTTTGTGTGATTGATAATAATGTTTAGGAGGGGGCTTTCAAAGTATTACGAGGGGAAGTCACAGTCTTTCACTTCATTAGCAAAAGTGAGGAGCTTGGAGGATCTAGCCAAGCCAGAGAATCCATACAATAAGAAGTTGAAGTCTTGGAGAAGCTATGGATGGGGAATGGATGAGACACAAGGAGGTCCTTGTGCTATCTCTAGGCATGGTTCTCATTCTCAAAATCAAAGGGGTTCATGTTCTTCCTTGAGTGTAAATAGGGGCAGTGAGAGAAGTACCCCAATCCCACCACATGGATCTACCACTACTAGCTCTATTCCTAATCAAACAGCTCTGTTTGTTTGAAAGGGATCAAAAGACAAGTTCATCAGATTGAAGGGTTTTTTGTTCTTTTGGTAAATTAATAGTTGAGTGGTATATGGTGTAAGGAATTTTCAGTCATAGTCTTTAAAAGTGTAATTAGTTGTCACATTATGTTGATTTAATTATTTTCATTCTCATAGAAAGCGGATTAGAAGTTTAATTTTAATATATCCTCAGTTTAATTTTTAACGATGTAATTTAGATTGTATGATTTATTTATTTATTTATATAAATCTATGATCATCAACGCATTGCAATTAAATTCTAAAAGAAGGACATTAGAAAATGAGGAATACAACCCAATCACTCTCTCTCATGTAGTTTTAAAAGATTTTATTTATTTATTTATTTTAAAATATTAGGTCTAGTGACTTACATAAAGAGTTAAACCTATATTAAAAGATATCAACGTTAGACAAATCTTAATGTCTCGAGAGTTTGATTAAAAAAATATGATGAGATAGTCTTTATGCAAAATCAGTATATATTGTTGTCAATATTATGACTAAAAAAAACTTATATTAAATGATAGATTTACTTCTTAAGTAGAAGTTTTAATTTATAATATATTTATAAATCAATCAGTTAAATCTTATATAAATTTTGATTTTACATAATACGATAATTAATTTATTAAATTTTATATATAACTACATTAACTAAATTATCAAGTGATCAAAATAATGAATAAAATTATCATTCAAATAATTTTAGTATATCTAAAATTTGAAACTATGCAATTTATTGCGAGAAAATATTAATCTATTTCAAAATTTCAAATGGCTGATTTTCAAAATTTTAACTTTAAACTTTAAAAACTAATTTATTTTTTAAAAAATCTTTCACACAAAAATAATAGAAAGCCTAGAAGAATGTGAGGAAGAACTGATACAAGTAAATCAAGAAAGAAAAAACAGAGGAAGTCAACTTATTATGTCTTTTTTAAAATAAAAAAAAAAACAGCAAAGTACCTACAATTTTAATGGATAATGGATCTTTCGTTTTTCTTTATGCGTAATTGGTATTTTGTTTAATTGCTCTCTCTCTCTCTCTAAAAAGAATTTTAAATAATAAAGTCGATGATCATAAAGAATGATTACATTTCTTTTTCTAATTCATATAGTATTATAACGATATTAACTTTGCTACCAAACACATTAATCAACTAATATGAAGTTATTTTAATTTAAATGAGTGATTTCAAATTTCAAGTTCTAAATTCATGAATATATAATTGTATTAAATAATTACAGTAATCACTTTTAATTTTTCTATGGGAGATTTACGTGCTTTTTTTTAAGAACATTAATCCATCTTGTAATGGGGAATCAAATACCCTTTTGACCAGTGCACAACTCAAAAGGATATTCGATCATAAGGAAAATCGGATACTCATCACCACCGAAGCTACATTACCCTAGGTCGAGTAGCCACCTAGATCAATCCTACTACTAAAAAAATAAGAAAAGAGTGTATTTCTAGATTAGGTTAAATGGAGTCAAAGTGCCCTAGTAACCTACCCTAGAAACAATATACAATAGCTAATTAAAGGAACTAAAGTGCCTTACAAATACAAAGGCAAAAATACACTTATACAAGTATCTACTATATACAAGGTACAAGAATTCAAACTATACAATGTATGTACAATAGAGACTATGAGACTAAAAAGAGTAATCATACTCAATACTCATATTGAGCATAGGTCTAAGAAACACCTCCTCTCTAGAAGCCTCCTCTAGCCTCCTAACCATGGACCTAGTTAAAGGCCCAATGGTCTTCAAGTGTGAGCCTCCTT